CTGCGATTACGGTTGCTTTATTCTCATTTCTAGACCTCTGTTTGTTCGTTCAGTAATGCTATTCGCAATTCTTTGCGCGAGGTTCTTGTCATGCCTTTTCCTTTTTATTGATTTTAGAAGTTACATGGAATGCTGTGATTGTGCAAGAGATCTGGTTGTTTCTTTTTCTAATTGCGTTTAAAAGCTCGTAGTAAAGTATGGAATTGCTGCGTCGATTAACTTTAGAGATTCCTGCCTCCGGATCTCTTTATGAGAAATATTGGAAAATAATCTGTTCTTATTTCTCTAGTTTTATAGGGGACTATCAGTTATCTATATCTTTGTTCTTTAAATTGATTTAGATTCATTTGTTAGGTCATCTGTATATCTTTGTTCAGTATTATAAAACATTTAGTGCTTCAGGGTGAAAATTTTTAAGATATGTATCTATACTTTTTTTCGGTAGTAATTTTGGTGGAAATTGGCTCTTTTTTCTTGGTCTATACTTTTATTCAGGATACTGTGTCAATCTAGACAGGTAGATGGTATGTGATTCTAATGACATTATTTCTCTAATACTTGACAGGTTTATGGAGATGATGAATGGTCCTTTGGGTTCTGTGAAGAAGGAACTGGAGTGTTTAGTTGTCCTTCTGGAAAGAATCCAATGTATACGCACCGGGAGAGCATTGTCTTAGGTAAGACAAACTGTCCAATATTCAAGGTAAATCAGATCCTGCAGGAGCTTAGTAGAGAGTGGCCTGGACATGCATATGACTTGTTGTCCAAGAACTGCAATCACTTCTGTGATGAGTTCTGTGAAAGGCTTGGTGTGCCAAAGCTTCCAGGTAAAGTTGATCATTATTTGATATTTTATTGTTTGTTGCCTTTCTGGAACCTAAAGTGAAGTAACTGTGGTACTAGGAGATTACTGTATCAGCTCTAGTTGTTGTTTAATGTTTACTTCTTCTATTCGTAACAGTGTTTTACTTGCCGCTGTTGTGATCAAATAGAGGTTTTATTTTTATTTTTATTATTATTATTTTTTATTTTTTTATCATGGATCCAAGGTAAAGATATTTGTCATCTACGAGTTATATGTGCAAAATATGAGTGGAGCATTTTACTGCTGCTCTATGAAGAGATATTTTAGGGTATGCAGGCTTTGGGGGTCTAACATCTTTAGTTTTTCTTCATACTGTAACTGTTTGCTCGAGTGTGGCTCTTACTTTTTATATATATATATATATATATATATATATTGTTTTCTAACATTGGACTGAAGCTTGTTTCATCTTCTCCTCCTCACCCTTTTTCTTCCCTCTTCTTTCTGTTGTTTGAGAAAGAGGGAAAGGTTCATTGCTGAGTAGTTCAAACAAGATGTAGTTTTGTGGTGAATTTTAGCTGTGCCTTTTTTTTGCATTTCTCTTAACTCAAGCTGAAGCAGAGAGGTATGGTTGTTAACACAAGATAGTTATATTATTTATCATTGTCTTCAAAATTTTTAATGTATGTCCTCTCACGAATCCTTAACAGGTTGGGTTAATCGCTTTGCCAATGCTGGTGATGCTGCTGCTGAAATTGCAGAAACAACAGCTCTACGAGTGAGATTTCCTTCTGCAATTTATGGTTGTCATAATATCTTTTATTGTAGATCTTGATATATTTTTTTAAAATGATTAGTTTGCCATTGCAATTCAAAGATTTAGTTATTGGACCTTAGAACTGTGGGCTTTATTGTGCTTTCTTACATAAGTGATGCACTTGTGCATTTTGAGCGTGTTATATTTGTTTACACCTGCTCCAATCTAGTTTTTGATGCGCGAAGAAAACACCAAATGGTCATGCACATAAAAACTAAAAAGTGGTTGTTTGTGGCTTAAAATGTGTACTAAATTATTCTATGCTATCAATTGAAACCATTTGCTTCTGCTCCAGTCTATTTTTCTATGTGTGAAGTCTTGAAAATAGTAATGTGTTGATTTCATTGTTTGAAATTGGCCTGAAATGTGTCCAATTTGGGGTTGAAATTGTGGATCCTAAAGGCTTTATATAGATAATTCATAATTCTGATCTTCAATTAATGTTAAACCCTTGCTAGCAGTAAGATCACATTATTCATCTTTTACTTTGTGGTTATTGCAGTTGAGACAAGCTAAGACAGAGATAGTATCAGCCAGCAAAGTGGCATATCGTTTCCTTGTAGGTGTTACCTCTGGTGCTAATGGAGCAACTCCTGACTCTCCTGGTGGTTCAAACAGAGGTTCCCCCAGATTTCAAGCAACTTGGTTTAAAAACCTCATCACCAATGGTGCCAAACCATCCAGCAGTTCTGGAATAGATAATCAGGATGATAATGTGAATCAGCAGCAACGGCAGCAGGGTGTATCTTTAACACGGCCCTTGAGACAGAATTCACTGGACTGAGAAAGACAGTATGACAGGAGACATGACATGTGATGAAATGTTTCTGGAAAGCATCTTTGTTTTGTGTACCGGTTGGACCTTGGAAAGCCAATTAAGAAGTTCACGTCTATTTTTCATCAAAAAAAAAAAAAAAGAGTTCACCTCACGTCTATCATTTGTTGCCCCCAAGTGAAATTTGTTCAAACTTCAAATGATGCCCTGGGGGAGTGAACTAAAACTGTAAAGCTCGTCAATCTAACAATGCTTTTTCATGTGGTATTTCATTTCTCCGGAATTTTGGAAGGTTCCTGGGCAAAACGTTGTTTTGTATATGTAGGTGTCGAGAACATGGATTGGTGATGGTACAACGCGGGAGCATCTTCATTGGAAGGAATTTGTCCAAGTCTAAAGTGATTCTAAACCTTTGGAAGTTGCTTGTACATTATGCAAAGAAGGCAGGATGAAGCATAGAAATGATGCTCAGGTAGTGCAACGGGTGGTGGTGGTTGTGTTGGGTATGAATATGCTTGTGGAAAATAGAGGTTGGGTAGTTGAAGTGGATTCCGGATAATGTTAAGTTTTATTTATGTTAATTTTGTATTTTGTGAGTGGTAATGGCTGTGTTAGTTGCACTTTTGGTATGTCATTTTGCAACACATGATCACATCCTGATTCCTTTTTCTTTAGAATCAAAAACAGCGCACTGCAAGCATCAAAAGCAATCCTCAAGAGCGATAAAAGGGCTACCATATGCCGATGGCATGCAAAAGTTTTGAGTGCAGGAAAAGCATACCCTTGCAGAACAGAATAATGTAGAATTGGAAGTACAACAGCTGTTCAGAGTACGAGAAACTAAGCAAATGCAATTTACACAACTGCCCCAAAGTGATGATGAAAATAAGTTAGGATGCAGGAATCAAAATCTTTTTCACATTTTGCAAATAAAAACAAGAGGAACTTCAAGAAACAGGTCATGACACCAAGATAGAAATGAGCGCAGGATAGTGCAACAATGTTCCCAAATAATCAACAAGAGAATCTGTTGGGAGATGGGAGACGCATACAAGACAAATATATACAGTGGCAACATTTAGAAATATGACGAATACAGCACCAAACAGGGTATAATAAAACGAAACCACTTGTCTAGCCTCTCAGCATCCTGTTAAGAACCACCGAGTCTACTTCAGCATCGTCTGTAATCTGGAGTGCTGAAACAGCCTGTGCTGCAAATATACCAGCTGAAAGTCCTTCACCATCCCAAGCTACATCCTCAAAATATGGCACATGTAGATCCCTTCCATAAGGCCCATAAGTGAAAGACCAATCATTGTTTCCCAAGTCAACCCACTTGCTTCCAGCTGGATACATGTTAGAGATCCAGCTTGCGCAGTTTGTGTCAGCCTGATGAGGAAGGTATGCTCTCCTGCCACCCATAAATAGATCAATGTTGTGAGCACATTCCCAGCCATTGAAGTCTTCTTCCTTATTTAGCACAATCTTACATGAGTCCTCAGAATCTTCTCCAAGTAGGACATGCAAAGCAACAGCCTCAGCAATTGCAGCACCCTCCTCATCAAGCCGTTGTTGTTCCTCCTTCTTTTGTTGTTTCTTCTTTTCTAGTTCAGAACGGATGGCTGCGGAAGTAGCCAAGGCTTTCTCCAGACGCCTCTTTTTCTTCTCCGCCTGTTTGATGCGGTCCAACTCATCCTTCACCTGCTTCTTTTTTGCTTTTCTCGTAACTGGCTGAGATTTATTAACTGCCTTGTTATCCATGAAAACTAAAAGGCCAAAAACACAAACTCCCCTTTGCTTAAATTTTTACTTGAAGCTTTTTTTTCTAAAAAGTATACATTTCCCTATATAGCTGTCCTTTCTTGCTTTCTCCTTTAATTCAGTAATGCTAAATATTACTAATTAATTCTCTTTTGAGAACTAGTAAATTGATACAGCACCAAGACTACACCCACTCAGGTCTGTAGGAGTATCTCATCTTACGAACAATGCAATCCCAAAAAGAAACAACAGGGGAACACAGAAGAGCAGAACCATAGGCACTCACAGGTCCATCCCTTGGCAGGATTCGTCCTAATTTCCCACAACCCTTGCATTTACCCATCATGAGCCCACCAAGAAAGCCAATAAGCCTATAGAAGCCACAAACCGATAGCTAAAATCCAGTTCAAACAGCTCACATGACCCTCCTAGTATATTAAAGAGAAGAAATCAATATTTATACCATAAAATGTTAAAAAATTGAAATAAAAAAGAAAAAATCATTTAAGGTTATTGCAGTTACAGCATGTAATCAAAATAATCAGGGACACCTTGATAGTAATCACTGATCAAGTACTCATTTGGAGCTATCCTTGAATTTCATAATAAAAAAAAAAAAAGTTTAAAATTAACAATTCTCTGCTAATCCCAAATCACACAAGTACTTAAACTTTCACATGAAGATGAATCCGTACTCATCCAATACTCCCAAAATTAAAAAGAAGAGGAAACTTCAACCCTACAATTAGCAAATCTCTTCCAATCCAAAGCAAAATCCTAGCAGAATGTAATTACTGAGTTGACAAACAGCCCAAAAAAAAAAAAAAAAAAATTCTAATTCTCAAAAGCATCCATCTTTCTAACCTAGCAAGCAATAACAATCACTGAATATGCTGAAGATAGCTTGAATTAGCAAAATTTCTTTACAACAAAAAAACAAGGAAATTATAAAGTTAGATTCGTTCATTGACTACAGTTGAAACCCTAAATCAGCTCAATTTCGCAGAGAAGAATAGCTCGGATGTAGTTGATCTAGTCGATACCGAAACCAAAATACTCGATTCAAACTAAATTAAATACCCTAATATAAAAACCAGTATCAGATCGAAACAAACAAATCAAATCAAATAAAATGAAAATCAAAACAAAACTCAAAAAGAAATAAATGAAATCAAACCTTACCAGAATGTTCGAGAGAGAAAACAGAAAAACCCCCCACGGACTCCCTGAATTACTGGAAATCAGAGAAGTGAGTTACTCCTCCAGCCCGGATACGCGGTTTGGGATCTGAGAAAATAGAGAAAGGGAAAAAGAGAGAAAAGAAAAACAAATAACTGATCACATCAAGAGGTGACGAAGAAGCGAAGCTAATGTCATTACCCAATGGAATCACGACACGTGTTGGATGAATTTTATGGGTAAATCTAGAAGAGGGCAAAAGTGGTCCTGACGACACTTGTCTTGTTTTTGTTAAAATGGCATAAGGCTTATGTTATTATACTATAATTGTAGTTGGAAAATTTTTAATTTTTTAGTATCTAAAAAATATGTAAAATATATTTAATATTTATTTTAATTAATAATTTATATATTTTTAAAATAACAAAAATATATTAAAAATTAAAATATTAAAAAAAAATTCACCAACAAGCCTTTTATCA